CACAGGGGATAGTGGGTTGATACAGGCAGCAGTTTGGTGGGGGTCATCAAAATATAGCCAAGCTATATGTGTCTATGTATGTGTGTGTGTGTCAGAAAATGGGATGCAAGAAATAAAGTATCAGTAAAGAGGTCCTCGGTAAGAAAGTCCTTTGGTAGTAAAACTGATTTGTAAAATAAAATATGAGTCAGATATTTCTTCTTGTCAAATCTCCTTTATATCTGCACAAGATCTTTCGCCGTTCAACGGCTCTTCAGGTGTACAATGAAAGCTGAGTGTCGTCACAGGTGACACATAACGGCAATAGCTATGTCGTCATCATGTATATATATATATATCCTGGTATCCTACCTCATCCGACTTCATAAATCTTAGTATCAGTTACGCATAGAATATCTCAAGTCATCATGTGTTTCATTTTAAAAATTAAAAAAGCAGTGTTTTTCTGTACATTTCTTGTTAGAAAATTAGGGGAATCAAACCCGGGTTAGAACTGGGCTTCAGCAACCCATGCTTGTTGTAAGGGTGACTGCAAGTCTTATGGTGGGTAATGATGTAAGGTGGTCAGGATCGCTGACTTGGTTGATCCCCACCATCATATCCTGACTGGTAGATCATGGTGTTGATCACTGGATTGTCTAGTCCAGACTTGAGTATTTACAGACTGGTATCATGCAGCTGGAATATTGCTGAGTGTGCAAAGAAATATACACATGATGCATTGTGACTTTATGCAGTCAGATTTGACCCTGGGCTGGAGCTGCACACATACACATACACACACTTGCAAACACACATGTACACACATGCACATGTACACACACAAAAACATACTCTGTCTGTCTTTTTTCTGTCTGTTTTGTCTGTCTGTCTCGCTGCCTGTCTGTCTCGCTGTCTGTCTGTCTCGCTGTCTGTCTGTGTGAAACGTAACTGCTTGTCTGGACTTGTAAAGATGGTGAAACAGTAGACAGCCATCACAGGGTGATCCCCGAGAACAAATGATTAATGTTTGCCGTACCAGTCAGATCATCATCAAGATTACTCATTTTCAATTATGAAAAGAATTAATGCCTGCACATGCAGTATCACTTAACACATGTAATGTAAATCATGAAAATAATACACAACTTGTGTAACCAAACAGGCAACACTTGGCACAGAACTCGGTGAGATGGTCGACACCTAGTGCTCCATTACATTGTAAATTGGGCCCCTTGTCATATGTGTCATTATTTCTGCCCATGCACATTGCAGTAGAAATGTCAATACACTTCAGATCATATTCCTTATAAGGCATACACGGTATGGTTGCATTTCTCACATTTAGTTTATAATTAATATCTTCATGTTTAGGGACCATTCATAATTCATGGCAGGGGTGATGATTTTATGGAGAAACATGCACAATGTAAATGGACCACCCCCCCTCCATTTATGTACAAAGTAAGTCCACCCCCCACATGTCATATAAAAAAATCATGACACACCACCACACCCACCACAAGAATTTAAGCACAACTATTTGATATTTCTATGTATAAAATTGCTGACCCCACTAGTACATGTGTGCAAAATTGATGACCCCCTACCTCCCCATGACAAAATGGTGACCCCCCTACCTCCCCATGACAAAATGGTGACCCCCACCTCCCATGACAAAATGGTGACCCCCTTAAAATCATCATTAACCCCCCTAGCCATAAATGATGAATGGTCCCTTACTGTGTTTCATCAGATAAACAGTCATACATGTATTTTTTTTATGTTGTATGAATAACCATAAGTTTTTAGATTGCTAAGGAAACACTTTGCCATATTACAGCTTCATTGACATGGCTGTCAGAAATGATGGAGTGGAGATCTTGAGGTCCAGAGGGTTAATAGCAAGTTCTTTCATCAGCAGCTGATCAGAAATATTGACATCCCTTTTCTCTGGAATTAAGGATAACCATTGATGTTAGGATGGAGCTTTGTGGTCCTTATGCCTTAGAACTGGTAACATTTTATTGTATGCAACACACACAAGACAATGCATTTATACTTTTGAGACACGAAAAGGTAAGACTGCATGTATTTTTATGTAGGTGTTTTTATATGGAGGTCAGTTCAAGTCTATCACGTCTGATATTCTTTCTATATTTTTTACAGCAAGAAACGTCAAGTTTAATCTAGTGTTGCAGAGTTACCATGGAAATACTACTGCTTAATATAGATAATGTTAACCCTTATAACTCAGCTTTTCCATTAGAATATGGTCCAATCATAATGAAATAATCATGGCAGTTTTGATCCCACTCAGGTGTCTTGTAATTTTGACTTGTGTTAATTCTGTCAATATCCTTGTTAGTTGTATTCAACTTGTTCCTCACCCAGGCTATTCTCAGTACATAAAGGGTGAATAGTGTAGCACTATTGATCATCAATCTCTGTGTTGTCGTTATCGTCGTAGCTGCAGCATGGCCGACAGGTAACGGTGTCTCCTTCACCAGCACAGCACAACGATGTCACAACCAAACACAGCGCATCTTAACAGCACAATTACCCCAAAACAGGACAATTTAGCACCCTAACTTTGATATAATTTCACTGTTGACATTGTTTTCTGTTGCTAGGGGCCTATGAGTTTCGGTTACCATGGTTACAATGAAAACTATTCATAGGCGTGGCTTATCGCATAACTGTGAATGAACCTGTGTGATTCCTTGGTCAGAAGTTAACAGCTGTCTTGATGTTGACGGGAGCGTATTCTTGTTTCACTTGTTTGTCTGTCCATGAAACTGGGAGAGTTGCTAACATTTTTTCTCTCTATGCATTGACATTGGGCAATTAGTGACTGAGATCATTTTAGTAAAGAATATAATCTCATGATTGATGAGTGGTAAAAGAAGTGTGTCAAAGTGATAGCCATGCAAGTGTATACTGACTCTCCAGGTGCTTGTACATTCACAGGTATTCACTAGCTAATGTTTCATATTTTATAAGCATTTTATAAGTTCTATATGAAATTAGTTGTGAGACTATCAGGTTACATAAGGTGAAATATGTTTTAGCGTTACATGTAACAAATGGCTGCCTGTTCAAGATGAAACAGTAGGTATGCCGCAATTCAACATTGACCCTCAGGTACATTACAGCCAACCAGCCCCGGTGTCATTCCTAGTGGTTAAAGCGTTCGCTCAACACGGTAAATACTTGGGTTCGATTCCCCTCATAGGTTTAATGTGTGACGCCCATTTCTGGTGTCCCCTGCCATGATAGTGCTGGAATATTGCTGCAAGCGGCATAAAACCACTCACTCACTTGTGTTATTCCCTTGGAGGTGAGCACTAAGAAGGGTAGCATCAATTACCATGTTTTAATCTTCTGTGTTTGGTGACTGGGGTTTGAAATTCTGACAATACAGATGTTCAGTCCACTTGGGGGGCAGTGGGGTAGCCTAGTGGTTAAAGCATTCACTCGTCACGCCGAAGACCCGAGTTTGATTCCCCACATGGGTACAATGTGTGAAGCCCATTTTTCTGGTGTCCCCCGCCATGATATTGCTGGAATATTGCTAAAAGTGGCTCCATACTCACTCACTCACACTGTCCACTAGGCCACCATGTAACCATGAAAATATACACAATCATTTGCCTGGGTGTATTTGAAACTATTCATCTGCTGATTTCAAACAAATCACTAACTGAAATTCTAAATGTGTTCTTTAATCATCCAAGCTATATATTGTTAACACAGGCTGTACAACAGATTCCGTTGAATTATCATTTATCCCTTGCTTGACCAGGAGAAAAAGTTCAAGAGGCTTGAACCAGTGTCCCCGGTATGAAAAAAAAGCTTTGTGTTCCTAAAACGCATAGCCTCAAGAATAATGCGTGTGCATGCACCGCAGCTGTTTCCTTGGGGATAATATGTTTTTTGGTTACTTGTTCCCAGAACACAAAAGCTTTGTGTGCAGAACACGCAGGTAGAAAATATCGTGCGTGATTTGTAGATAATTGTTTGCGTGAAACATGCAGGTTTTTGCATTCACGCGAACACTGCTTGAACTGACATATCATCAGCCATTCCAGAATATTGATTTATTAACATGAATAAGTTTGAAAATCTCATGCAATATTTTTTCATCGTTCTGGAATGATAGGATGTCCTCAGGTATTAATTTATAGGCGTGGGTATTGCAGAGAATTTTCACCTTGCAATATATGGCAATGCGAAAGCATATATTGCGATATGTATTGCAATATAGTGTAAGAAATTGTTTTAACAAAAAAACTACTTAGAATCGAGTGAATGCTTGATTTATAAAGCAAAAACACAACAAAATCACTATGCTTGATTAAATTCAATAAAAACTTTTAATTATGACAAAATAATTATGTAAATAATATTTGGCACAAATGAAACAAGGAAAAGAACAATTTAAAAAACGGAAATATCCGAAGATTTTCGAGTGTTACGAAGTTTTCCGAATTCATGTCAAAATACCGGTTTTCAGTCAGTGTATCACAAAATGTATTGTTTTCATGTCTGAAACGGTAAGCCGGTATATTGTGCAGCCCTATTTCTTTAACAGAAGCAATAGATTTGATTTTAATTAGATTGTATTATACACCTGTGTATGGGCAACATAAACCGGTAGTTAGTGTTATTGTATACATGTTGTATATTTGTTTTAGTTCAGTACTTTAGTTCAAGTAACATGATTATGAATGAAGTCAAAATTTGCCAAATGTATTGTATAAGTATGTTGTATATTGAAGAGAAATTCTACAAATTTCCTTGATTGCGATAACAGGAAACGTTTCTGTAACTTCCCTGCCCCACCCCAATACCCTTATACTAAATGACCACCCTGCCCGCCCTCACTACCCCACCCCCAATACCCTTATACTAAATGACCAGTCCCTTACCATCTTGACCTGTTTGTGAAACATAGCCATAGTGTTGCCAGTACATCACTGTTTAACTAGATAACGTCATTTCAACAATATCTGTTTCAGTTATACGTACAATGAAGTGGAAGAAATCGCTACAAGTGTCCTGAACAGAGTGAAATGCCGACCGACACTAGGGATGATTTTAGGCTCCGGGTGCGGCAAACTGGCTGATGGTGTGGAGGACAAGGAGGTGATCAGCTACAAGGATATTCAGGGCTTCCCCGTCAGCACAGGTGAGATACATAACCGTTAGACAATTGCCATGGCTTCAGGTGAGATACATGGCTTTACATGGCACAGAAGTGGTCCCCAGCAACCATTGCTGGTCATATGAGGTGATCTGAATGATCAGATCTTCACTGAGGTGATCAGATGGATCATATGATCATTGAGGTGACTTCCCAGATTGCAAGTCGTCCTGCCCAGATTGCATGGATCGCTGCTCACACTATTTATCACAATGCCGCCAACATACATCTGGTATATTGCTTAGTGTAACATTTAATAATAACCAGATACGTCCCATCAAGGCCTGTTCCACCGAGCAACCATCATACTAAGAGCTAAATGCTTGTACCCCATAAACTAATGCAGACTTAAGAGTGTCTTATCATTCAGAGACTGATTCTTTAACATTTGGCCATATTCATAACAAATGGTTCGACCCTGAAATATGGAACAAGTGGAGGTCCAAATTATTTGGTGGAACAGCCAAGTAACTGCCCGATTCCTGCCCATCTCTCAATGCATTTGTCATGAGGGGGGGAGCATATACAAGCCTCTCCAGTAGAAACTATTCTAGTCAGCCAGCATAGTGAGTGGCCTTCTGACAATATGACATATCTGTCCACAGTTCATGGCCATGAGGGGAGGCTGGTGTTTGGGAAGCTGAAGGGCAAGTCTGTGGTGATGATGCAGGGGCGAGCTCATTGTTACGAGGGCTATTCCCCACAAAAGGTAGGTAACTCAAAACATGTATTTAGTTTCCATGGAACAATATATGTTTAAATAATAAGAAGAACAAACTCTGCCAATAGGAATTAGTGAGTGAGAGTGGAGCTTGAGAATTTGATTGGTTGGGTTTTGGCTTAGGTCAGTAGGTGTGGGTGGTAGGTATGGTACTTACAAACCAAGAATCTGTATCAGGGTGAATCTGGGATTTGAAGCTGTAGTCATCAACTGGCGGTGCCAAAGATGACTGGGCACTACAAGAAGTGACGTGCTGTTACAGTGCTTGCAGGTGATAAACACAGGGGCCATGGAACTGAACTGGTGGCTTAACCCCCTGGGTGCCACAGGGACATATATGTCCTTCCCTCTCAACCCCCAATTTGAAGTCCAATAAAAATCAAAATATCCCACGCACACAAATACACTTCACAGTTTCGAATTCAGCGGGAAATTTCCTGTTTCTTGATACCATCCACTATTAGTTTAGACAAACCTCAAGTGCTGAAAATGACCTTTCAAAATAGGCTTCATCGAAAATGTCGCCATTTTTAACACAGTACGAAATCGCGATTCACAGTGTTATTTGCTATATGTTTTGAAATGTGAAAGTCGGATAATTACTGGGAGTATTGAATTTAAAAAATAACATATTCATGATCACTGATATCAGTTTTACATGAAATCGTTAATGATAATTCTGAAACATGGCCGATGAATCTAGAATCGGTTGGGATGTTTTCGAAAATACACTTACACGAACGCCATTGAGCGCTTTCCGACATATTGGATAGCGTTTACAAAGTCACGTTTCGCGAAGGCCGGTATTGAGATGCCTATTACATCACGTATATTTCATATTCAGCTCCGAAAAATGCATCACTGAATTCCCCATACATGTTAGAATCAAATTGCAACTGGTCTTTGTCACCAATACCAACTGTCTAGATAAAATGAGAAGAAACATAATGGGTGTGAAAACGAACGCTGTGCTCGAAAGACTGCTCTTGTTTGAAATGTAAACAAAGACAAATTCCCGATTTTACACTGCGTAGCATTTTCTGAAAGTTTTCAACATTCATCCGTCTATTCATTGCTTGCAATGGCTCAATACCTTTGGAATATGCATGGAAAGAGTATCGTAGCCAGAAATAGGAAATTATAAATAGATACAATGCAATGTTTATATAGTTCATAAGAAATTGTCAAAGTTTCCGTGCAGCGTGACGCCATAACAGACACAAAATCACGCAAAACGACAACGTCAATTATCAGCATTTCTGGCTTCTTCTCTTACTTACAATGAAAACGATTAAAACATATAACAATACACAGATAGTCAGAGTCACTCTGATTACTTACATCTCATATTTATGTACAAACGATCCCTGAATCAAGGGAAGAGTCCTCGCAAAATCCTGTGTACCCTTGTCAGCAAAGCTGCCATTTGTAAGAAATCGGTCAACGGTAGTGATGTCATACGTCAACATTGTTGTACATATTAGGCAATTTCTTTGAGGTGAAGGTCGGTTGAACAAGAGTTAACACAATCGCCCAATCCTTCCGATTACACTGTCAGTATTATGGTGTATATTTTGCGTGTAGTTCAGATATTTTTGCATAAAACTGACTTCAGTATCTACATTTAGTCTTGTTCAATATCATATCATACGTGCATATAGAGTTTACTGAGTTTTATTCTTTGAAAGTTTTTGATTGTTTGAATAATATTTACATAAGAAATTGGCACAATTAGAGCAGTACACCATATTCTAAACCTTTACACAAGTGTTAGAAGATCAAACGTAGCCATAACTGCAGCTACTTTAGTTCCTGTGATGTACAATATTCAATGCATTTGGACTAATATTGCAGTTTCATATGAACAGGTTAATGAACGGCGATTTAATTCGACCTTATAAGTAAAACTGATAATAATAATGAAAATGATTTATATATGTTATGAAATATATATGCACACATATTTAAAGGAATTGTCTTGATCATTGCATATTTTTGTGCCGTTGTATAGACAAAACAATGATGTATATTGATTTGCCAGGTGCACGTTTGTCGAAAAACGTTTTATGATTCACTATCATTGTTTTCGATAATATAATCAATTCATCTTCAATTAAAAAAATATTGTGATGTCAGGATATCAAACTCTAACTATATTTATACGAAAATTGTTTAAAACTATATAAACCATGTCATGTCTTAGTTTGGACAAATCTTAAATCTATATTCTAATATATAGTTCTATATATAAAAGCTATCTTTTTGCAACTTTCATTGCATACTTATGAAGAGAAAAATAGCTACATAGTCATAAACAAAGAAAATTCTTATGCTAAACAAAATATTCGGGTGTTGTGAAATATATTTTTTTTATTTACATTAAATTGATGCCAAACAGGTGCACGTGTTGCTCACAATAAGATACACAGTCAAACCGTCAAATTGTTGATATATTGAGGACACTATTTAAATGGAAAAATCAGTTATTTTATGTTTTGTGTAAAGAGTGTTAAATTCTGACATAGAAGCCGAGACCTTTTATACAATTAATGGACATTAGGTGAGATATATACTAATCAGCATACCAATGTCATCTTTTTCCGACGTCGCAAATTGCATAAAACAAGCAATGACGTCAACTAAAATGTTGTATTATTTTCAGCAATTTCATTACATTTGAAGATATGGCTAGTACTCTGGTAATGACGATGCAAAATTAGTCAAAATACATCTACACAAACAGGAGAATATGGGAAATCTAGGACTAACTTACATATCTAATAGGGCCATCCAAATCGCTATTACGCGATTTCACATGTAGTGCGTCGTCATCTTTTCTTATAAATTGTGAAACTACCAAAATGTATCCGCTCACATTGGGGAACTTTGAATTGGAATAGTTTGGTTCACCATGAACAAAAAATACCGAAAATATAGCGTCCGTATCCACAACAAATTCGCTCCATGTGATCTGAGTTACATTTACCTAGTGTTAAGCATAACGGAGTTATGCCCCCTTATCATTATAGGTGAATGACCTCTCTGTCGTCGTTTGACGTCATAGAAGGAAATCCATTTTTGACATTTATTGCTAGTCTTTTTTAATGTTGAGCGTATAACGTTATGCATAAGCACATAAACCCAATTCATATACACTTATGTCGTTCAGATATCAGGCTGTATTTTCTTCGCTCACACTTTCCGTAAAGATACCAAATTAAAAAAATCGTAGCACAGTGCCTTTATCGGTGCGCAAAAAAAGCAGAGAAAATTTACTGTTTTTTAACGCATAACAAACATTTTGACAACATTCAGTAAGGTCTATTTCTCAAACCGCCGAGGTAGTTGCATTTTTATTTATACCAACGGATAGGAAATTTAATATTCTACATTTCTGTGTAATTTTATAGCCGTACATAGATCCAGGACCACGCGAGCGCAATTCCCGCACAACGCTCACTTTTCAAACCTTGTGAAAATGTGCACCTGACAAATAACTCGGCATCCAGGTGCCCGTTTCACGAAGCTCTCGTATCGCTACGACTATCGTAAGTCAATGTTACAGTATAGGAAGTACGAATGCTACGAGAAAAGTTACGAGATCTTAGGCTTACGAGAGCCTTGTGAAACGGGTCCCAGGGGGTTAAGTAGTCAATGTTTTGGCACATTGTAAAAGTCAGTAGGAGTTTTAACATGTAATGTCATGTCATGTCATCATGGTCATGTCATGTTATGATGCCCAGAGAATCATCATCACGCACAATATCGCTATTGAACATCTGTATTGATCTGTCAGTCCTGAACATGCTGAGAAAGTTTTAATTCCAAGTTAGAATGTTTGGTGAAAAAGTCTCCGAAAACCTATATTTTTCCTTATCCTGACTCATGCTTATTGCTTGTCTTCTTCTTCTTGCGAACATAGTGGAACACGTGTATCTCCCAATTGAAGTTCCCTTCAATTAAAAAATCACTAATTAGTACTCACCACGAGTTACCTCCCTTCCACAAGCGCGGGAACGAGGGCGCCACCTGAACCCATGTGCCTCACTCTCTTCTTCTTCGCCCAGTGAGCTGGACGTGAGAGCGCCTGTGTCTCCCAACACACTATATCCTTTATTTATATTTAGTTTAGTACCTCTTATATTCAGTTATAGAGGTGTAACTAGTATCCTTATTCAACTTGCATTGATTATTAGTCGTGTTTCTGCTGTTTTATTCACGGTTCGCCGTGTTTGTTCAGCAGTTTACGTTCATGAGAATCTGCACAGGTTGTAAACTACGTTATTCTGCTACCGATCCACATTTAAAATGCCCTAGTTGCATTACTCCATGTTCTATTTTTGTCTCGTTGTAAATTATGTATTAATTTACCAATTGCTGCCTTTGATAAATATTTATGTTCCGTTTTGAGACCGAAGGCAGATAAATCTCGCAAACAATCTTCAGTCATGGCTAATAGATCGGAAGCTATTATACCCTGTCAACTGTCAACTGTTGACTGACGACCCGCCACCGGCTGGTGGCATGCCGGAGTTTCCCTCGGGGGATAAGCGTGGGACGCAGTCCGCTATGTCCAAGAAGCGACCTCATCTCAAGACATTCCGTCTTCTCAGTCTAAGACTAGGAAAGCGTCCACATCATCTCAACGTACGCTTCGAACCCCCAGGTCCACAGCTTCGTCAAAAGGGAAATCTACGAAAACTACAAATAATTTTGCCTCCGATATTCTACCTGTCTCAGAATTATGTTTATATGATGATGACATTCCGATTATCATTCCAGATGTACGTCATAAGAAACGTCCAGTATCTGCTACCGTCACAACAGCGCAGATAAACACCCAACCAGAGATACCTACGCTGACGCCTGAGTTTACGATTGAGGGTTAACCAAATCATGAGACTGATGGAGGACCGTTACGGTTTACAGAGGCCCCAGAGCCACGGGCCCCAGAGCCCAACACTTAATAAGTCATACAGGGCCCCAGA